TCTACCCAGAACGTGGGGCTCAAACTCACGACCCTGAGGTCAAGAGTCTCATGCTGTATCGACTGAGCCAGTCAGGTGCCCCGACTCTGCATTTCTACCAAGCTCCTCAATCAGGCAGATGCTGCTGGTCCGCGGATCAGGCACTCTGAAGAACAAGGATCTAAATCTGACGTTTTCAAGTTTGCCTCAAAATCAACTGAGATGAAGAGAACAAGAGGGAGTTTTCCAAGAAAAAGTAAAATGGGCTACTTGGTGATCAGGCTGTTCTACACACACACACACACACACACACACACCTGACAGGAACCGAATCAGAGCAGAGAGGAGAGTGAATAGACAAAGTCAGAGGAAAACCAAGCAACTTTGTGGGTCAAAACTGCAGAAATAAAAGACATTCACATTGCAGCTAGAGAGCAAGTCTCATTTCTACAAATTCAAAATGGGGTGTGGGAGTACGGTTCAGGAATCTGCGTTTTATGGGATTCTGATGGGGCAGGGGGAGAAGGATGAGTTGCCAGCACCTAATGGCAGACCTCCCTTTGTTGTTCGTAGATAGGGAATTTCAAGTACTTGGAGGGAAAACCAGAAAATCCAGTCGATTTCTTCCTTTCTTCCGGGGTGAGTTTGTTTTCGAGGTGTGGCTCAAAGAAGCCTGAACCACAGTTCTGAATCTGACATTTTGGAGATGCAGCACACCGGAAAATGAAATGGTCCACTAGAGATGGCAAATAATAGGTGGCGGATGTTTTTTGTGGGGAGGTGTCTCTTGGTTACCGTGTTGCGAAGGATTCTGAGGTTTATTTCTAGGTGTGGGAAAGAGGGCTGCAAGTGAAAAATGATGTCTGCCACTGGGTTCAGCACTGAGGTGAGGTGGCCCACATGTCAAGCACAGGGTTTTACTAGCAAAGGGAAAAAGCTTAGCAATTTTTTTTTGGGTGTGTGATAATCCCCACGGGAGAGGATTGAAGCTGAGCAATTTTGACATGTGAAGCTCCAGGATCATGGAAACATGAAACAAACAGCTTTCCCCCACCACAGAATTCAGTATCTTAGTATTTCACTGCCTTAAGTGTATCTCACTGGTTTGGGGTAACTATCATGGCATCCTGTTTTCTTTTGTGTTTTCCTGTTTTCTTTTGTGGCATATGAATTACTAATAAACTTTTAATAGCTAAATATCTCATTTTTAAACCAGAAAGGACAGTATCATGATACTGTCTTTTCGCTTTTGTGTGCAATGCGAGGTTTGGTTTTCACACCCTATTTTGGCTCTCTGTGGGTTTGGTGTTGAAAACCACAAAAAATGTCCTGTGGTTAAGGATCACAAGCCACATAAAAGTTAACATTTATAGACAGTTGCCTTGTCGATGCTCTGGTTGTCTTAATTTGATATTTTGAAGGCTCCAGATGCATCTGCTTAGGTGCGGGGAGAGTGCTGATGAAACGTGATTTCTGAGGCCAGGCCAGCCAGATTTGAATCCCAGCCCTGTCACCTTTTAGCTGCCTGGCTTTGGGTAAGTTACTCACTCTCTTTGGGGGCTCAGTTTCAACATCTACAAAATAGGGATTATCACAATAATATTTATTCTTAGGAGCCCCTGGGTTTGTGGTGAGGGGTTACATGACCTTACGCCTGTAAGGCTGCTCGGCAGATAATATAAACTCAATAAACATTAGCTGTTATTATGTTTGTGGTGGTAGGTTGTTGTTGATAGCTCTCTGGCTCCCTTATAGGAAAGTTCAATGGGGCAGGTGTGAGAATCAAGAGTGGAACTAGAGCTTTTCATCTTGTCTAATTTATATAGAAACATTTCTTGAAGACCATAAATATGCTAGATTTGGAGATATTTCTCGAAAAGAGACATAATACATCTACAAGTCTGGGAACCACAGTGCCTGAAAGAAAGGTGCTAAAGGACTGTTAGAGCCCAGTTAAAAATGGATGGGCAGAGATGAGAAAACGCTCATGCGCGAGTCAGGGTCGTCACAGAAAATGAAGTATTAAATACAGCAACTCAAGAGGCGCTCCCTTTAGTTCCAAGAGAGATAGCAGTGAAACAGAATCAATTCTTTTCTCTTCAACTGCCCCTCAGAAGTGTTAGAAAAACTATCTGCCAAATGATTAAATCATTCATTGGCTGACTGTTTCCCAGCGCAACAGAACCAAGAGCTGGTAAATGTAATATGGATTTCCTGAGGGCAAACTAGAAATACAGATAATTATAAAATTGGTTACTTCAAAACAAGGCCCTTCTCCATGATCACAGTAACAAATGATCACATTTACTTGGAAATACCTCAGGCTGAAATGTGTTCATGACCAAACTGTTTAAGATTTTAGGGAATTCTTAAAGAATTCGTAAATTGAAGCATGTGTTGCAAATTAGCTGGACAAAGGGAATCAATCAGTAGCTTGAGAAAGACTTTTCAATAAGAAGAAGGGTAAAAAAAGAACCCGTGAGCCACATTAGGACAGGTGCTCTTGGCTTTTAGTTGAGAAATCTGGCTCAGGTCGTTGAAAGAGAGGGCATCACAAATACTCTTTTGAGCAATGGTGGGCACTTCTACACAGTCTTCAGCCTTTCATTCCATGGACCAGAATTTTAGTTTCTTGAATTTTGATTCAAAGTAGAGAAAACTCTCATTTTGAAGGATTTTAAACTGGGTAAAGATAGGGTAAACTAATGCCCACATTTTAGATAGAAACGTGTCTTACTCTGGCATTTTGTGATAAAATGAATATAAAATAGTGAAGGCAAAGTATCTTTTCTTTGTGTGGCTCAGTGATAAGGGCAGGCTATTTTTGAAATAGGACCACACTTACAAATACTAACGAACAAGGGCAACCAGTGGGAAGAGGAAGGAGGAGCATCTGGTGGTCTGAGTTCTGTGTAAGCTCAGGCAGTGGAAGAGAATTTGCGGCTTTCTCTCCACCAACTCCAGAGTGTTCGGAACTGGCCATTTGAACTGGCCATTTTTGCGTGGCAAAACAGACTATAAATGTGCATGCAATAGAAGGAGCTAATGAAGGAGGATTATAAAAATGGCCCACCAAAAGAGAGACATGGTATTATTCTACACCATTGCAAAAAGAGGAGTCCTTAATTTAAAATCCTGTGACCTAAAAATAGATTCCCCAAGTCCAGTGGATTATTGTAATGTTAATGAGGTTTAAGCGAGTGAATCCCAACATATGCAGATGAAAACATGATACTTAAGACATAACATCACTGAGGAACACCATTAATAATGTCAAATAATCTTAAATCTGATGCACAATTATTAAACATGCCTTCTTTGGGAAAAAGACTCCCCAGTGAAAGTGTGGAATACTTACGAATCTACGTGGTTCTCAAATGAAAGCAGAATTGGAAAAGGTGACGTCTTAAATGCACACTCAGCAATTGCTTCTATCACTTCCTAAAAATGAGAACACGCATATATTCAATATGCCAGAATTCTAATGTGTATGTATGTTTTCCCTTTGGGGTTACTATGCCCATTAACGTGGTTGCCTTTTCCTTCATAGAATTATATGGAAAGGCCTGAAGTGGCTAGAAGGGGTTGTGCAAGCTGCTGGACTATACATTTTCTGATTCATTTCTTTTTTTTTTTTGTAAGATTTATTTATTTTAGAGAGAGAGAGCATGAGCAGCGAAAGGGGGAGAGAGAGAAGCAAACTCCCCGCTGAGCATGGAGCCCAATGCAGGGCTAAATCCCAGAACCCTGAGATTGTGACCTGAGCTGAAATCAACAGTCAGTCGCTTAACTGTGCCACCCAGGCGCCCCTGAATTTTTTGATTCTTGACTTAACAGAGTAGAAAGAAAGAACACTGGTTTGGTGGAGGGGGAGACAATCGTTCTTCTATTTGCTAATTATATATATATATATATATATTACTTATACTTGTTATAAGTATACTTATATGTATATTTTTTAATGAAAGAAGAAATCTAATCACATTATACAAATTTTGAACGGGAGAAGGCAACAATTTTTGCCCATACATTCACCCTTTGAACCAAACCACTGTTGGTATTTGTTTATATTTACTTCTGGTTTGTTTTTCATTTGTTTGTATAACTTGGTTTTCTTTATAGTAAATACTCCAATTGCATTTTTTGAACATTGTTATTGAGATGTAACCTTATTGAAATACAATGCAACCATTTAAAGTGTACAATTGGACAGTGTTTAGTATATTCACAGAGGTTGTGCAACAATCATCCCAATCTAAATTAGGACATTTTTATCACCCCCAGAAGAACCATGTACCCATTAGCAGTCACTTCCTATTTCCCCACCTCATTCCCATGCACCCTGCCCAAAGCAACCACTAATCTACTTTCTGTCTCCATAGATTTGCCTATCCCAAACATTTCATATAAATGAAATCATACAATAGGTGGCCTTTTATGTTCCGGCACTTTTCATTTAGCATGATTTTGAGTTTCATCCATGTTGTAACGTGTATTAGTACTTCATTCCTCAGTCTGTATTTTTAAGGAATATGTATGTCATGAGATTTAATAGCTGTATAAAATTCTAGGGAGCAGTAGTATTATAATTGATTTAACCATTACCCAACTGTTGGACGGACATATTTAAAGAGCTATCGTTCAGATAGTTCTACAAAGAACATCTCCATTTTTTCCTAGTATTTTGAATTACTTTCTGGGAATGAATTCTCAGAAAGGAAATTACTGAATTAAAGAATATGAATACTTTTATAGACTCCTGCATTTCTCCAAATTATTTTTCATCTTTGATCACCTAATGTATGAAGGACCAGATTTCAATGCATATCCAACCAGCTTTGGGCCCCAGCTTTTCAATATGTTTTTCTTATTGAACTGGTATACTCATATGTTTGTTTTTTAGTTGCATTTATTTTTTTCCTAGTCTCCTCTCAAGTAGGAATTTCTACTCTCATTCCTTATGTCCGAGACTTTTCCACTATCTTCTCTCCCTTCCTTAAACAATACATTGCTTTCTTTATATCTATGTGAGAAAGCTATTTCCCTGGCCCCAGAGTATAAATAAGGCTTTCTAATTCTGTACTACATTTGCATATATCCTCTGAGAAGGATTTGCCTGCACTGAGCAAAAGAATCACTCTCACTGTTTCTTAGAAGTGAAGTCACAGATTGCCCTTCATACATTATCCATTTAACTTTTACGATAGTTGATGCCATCAAAAAGAAGTGCAGTATAAATAGCAAGCAACACCAAGACTTTAAATTCTTGTTTATTTGAGGACAAGCTTCAGATTCAAACAGGCTTGTGTTTGAATCCTAACTTCTTAGCTTTACAAACTGTGTGACTTTGGGAGAAATCACTTAAAGCCTCTGTGCATTGGCTTGCTGGTAAGTAAAGTGAGGGTGATAAGCCTCATTCCACAAGCCTGTTGTGAGGACCCAGGGAGAAAAGGCAAAGGATCCCACCATCTCATGATGAGCATATATTCTTAAATCAACTCAGGTTTCTTACAGTGCAGGTGCCTCTGTCCTCACTCACATTAAACCTTTCCTCTTAGACTCTAACTAATAAAAACAAGAGCTACCATTAAATGAGCATTCCAGACACATATTTTAACTCATGCTATAGACATTCTCTAAGAAAAACTTATCCACCAACACAGATTATAAAATGGAGGCTCAGAGATATCAACCAATTTGCCCAAGGTCACAAAGAAGAGAATCTAAGAAACCCCAGGAAAATTGACCTATCCAGAGTTTATGCTCTTAACCAAGGCAGTGACTCTCATGTAACTAATGACCTTAACCACCAAAGATCAAAGCCCTCAAAATAACTGCAAATAGATATCATAAAGAAAGTAGGTGTTAAGTGTGAATAAAAAGGAGCTAGATTTTGTTGATTTCATAAATTTGGCCCTATTGTATCAGCTAAATGCAAAACATTAGAGCCATTCTTGACTTCTCTTTCTCTGGTATCTGATTGTCAGCAATCCATTCTAAAATTTATCCAGAATATAACCACATCTCAGCACATCTACCTCTATCATCTTGACCTAAAAACCTCTGCAATAACTGCTTTTGTATATTTCATCATCATTCCCACATATTCACTACCCCTTCCTGTGAGATGTTGACAACTGACATGGCCATGTCCTTTGTTTTGGCCATTGAAATGTGTATGAAAATGACATACTGAACACAGTCTTTAAAGAGCCACCATGTGATTCTGCCATTTCTCTCTCCCCTCTGCCGTGAGCCCAGTGATATCACAGATTGGGCTGTTCTTTCCATATGGCATATAGACGGTATCAATCAGAGCAATAGCCAACATCTAGCCTGAATGAGAAATAAACCTTTGTGGCTCTAAACCACTGAAATTCGGGGGGTTGGGGGGCTCCTGTTACTGCAGCAAAACCTAGCAGAGGCTTCTACATTTCCCTCTATATTACATACCACAGCCAGAGGGATTGTTCTTAAACATGAGTCAGATGATTTCACTCCTTTAGAGTAAACTGTTCACTGGACTTCCATTTCACAGAAATCCAAATTCTTTATTAGATCTGGCACCTGTTATCTCTAAATTCATCACCTTTTCCTTTCCCATTGCTCACCCAGATATAGTCTATTGATCTTTTCTTGCTTTTCCTCAAATACGTTAAGAACGATTTCATTTCTGTTCATCTCTTTCATTTCTTCGTTCATCTTTGTTACTTCTGTTAGGAATTCTCTTATCTGAAAGCAAGACTCACTTCCTTAATTTTGCGGGTGGTGGTCTCTGCTCAAATGTCATGTCACCCAAGTCTTTTTCCCACCACTCTACTGAAAAGAGCATACCTTAGCCCCCTTTTCCTTCAATACTTACTTGTGTTGCCTTAAAGGGCATGTGTCCATGTGCATAGTGTATGTTTATGTTGGTCTACCTCTTCCCCTCTAGACTATAAGCTTCTTGGAGATAAACACTCAGTTTTCTCCACGACTCTGTCCTTAGGGCTTTGGAAAGTGCTAAGGAATATTCTAGACATTCACTAAATATTTTCTTTTTTTTTAAGATTTTATTTATTTTTTTTGAAAGAGAGAGAGAGAGAGCACAAGCGGGGGGAGCAGCAGAGGGAGAGGGAAAAGCAGGCTACCCGCAGAGCAGGGAGACTTGACGTGGGGCTTGATCACAGGACCCTGATATCATGACCTGAGCCAAAGACAGATGCTTAACCGAGTGAGCCACCCAGGCGCCCCAACCCTGATTAAATATTTTTGAATAAATGAATGAATTCAACATTCTTAACAGAAGAGAAACTTTATTTTTATAGTTGTATTCCAGTTGTATTCCAATTTAGTCTTCTATTGACTATTTCAGAGGTCAGCACACATTCCACAAAGGGCCAGAGAGTAGGTATTTTAGGCTTTGCTGGCTATATGGTTTTTATGGCAATTATTCGACTTTGCTTTTGTAGACCCAAAGAAGCCACAGATAATATGTAAACATGTGGATGTGCCTATGTTCCAACCAAACTTAGTTCATAAAAACAGATGGCAGGCTGAATGAGGCCTCTGGAAGGTAGTCAGTCAACCCCTGGGCTAGTTTGATCCGTGGCTTAAGCAAAGCTTAAAACTCAATTGTAACCACAGGCAAATGTTATTTTGCATTAAAGAAGTTTAAATATTGGTTCCATACTCAATAACCCAGTTAACTTTAGCAATTTCGTGGCCAAAATTTCCAGTCAAGTTTGAGTGTTGCATTAAAGAAAATATCTTTCTTTTTTTAATTAAAAAAAATTTTTTTTAAGCTTTTATTTATTCTTATGAGAGAGATAGAGCACAAGCAGGGGGGAGCGGCAGGCAGAGGGAGAGGGAGAAGCAGGCTCCCTGCTGAGCAAGGAGCCCGACGCAGGGCTCGATTTCAGGACCCCGGGATCATGACCCAAAAGAAAGGCAGACACCCAACCGACCGACACACCAGGCTCCCCTAAAGAAAAAAATCTTTCAAACATAAAAGTATATAAAACTTGATAACTTTTCTGAGGCTGATTGTTGTCTGTGGCTATTTGAGAGGTACCACAACTGCCTTTATTAATGAAGGTTGACTGTAGACCTGCCCCATGAGCATTTGGGCCAATGAGAGTCAGGCCTGAAAGTGAGAGAGAAACCTAACCCCTCTCCCTTAGAAAGTGGGTGTTTTGCCTCCAGCCAAAGGGCTCTCTCTCTTTATCTCTGGCAAATGAAATGTGAGTGTTTTTCTGGGACTGCTCTCAGACCCGTAGGGAGTTTGTGCCTTCCTCCATCTTCCTAGCTCCCTGCCTCTGGTTCTCTCTTCCCACAGCTAGGATGCTGGTGCAGCCTGAAGAGCAGCTCGGCTCTGGAATCCCTGAGCCTTCCTAGCTGGGTCTCCTACTTCTCTCCTCTTCCATTCTGGTCTTCTGCACTTGACTTAGGACACCCTTCTC